CGACTCCCAATGCAAAGTCTATGGACAGCCGCAACCTGACGCGACTTGGCAACCACCGGCTGCCGGCGACACGACGTCAGCGACCTCTGCGATCAAGTCGCGCATGGTTGCCGAGGTCGCGTCGCAGGACGCCAAGTCACGTCGCTCCCAAAGTTCAAATATTTGAACTTTGGGAGCGACTCCGTGCCACGACAGCCAATCAGGGCTCTGCTGACGTCAACAAACCGGCGAAGCAAGGAGGAGGAGAAGAAGAATCACAATGGAGGAGCAGCTTATCACTGCCGTGAGTTATCACCCGGTCCTGTACGACATTGGGTGCGCGTTCTACCGGGACCGCACCTCCAAGGAGGAGGCATGGGCGAGGGTGGCCCATGATGTCGGGCTTTCTGGTAAGTTTTTTTGTTTATTTATTTAAGTGAGCAGACTTTTTTCTGAAAACATAGCAAACTTCCCCTGCTTGCTAGGCTACATGTTTCAACGTGTGTGTGTCTTTGCAGTGGATGTGTGCCGCAAGCGCTGGAAGGGGCTGCGGGAAGTATATATGAGGGAGAGAAGGAGGGAAAAGGAAGGTGGGAGAAGGGGGTCAGCGGCAACCAGCCGCGTCCTGCGACGTCCGTGACCGCAGCTTTGGACCCTGGTGTGAACACACCAGGGTGCGACGCGACGGGAATACAATGACCAACGCGACTAGGTCACTTCAGGTTGCGTTTGGTCTGAACACGGCTTAAGGGAGCATGTGAATTTTACAGGAAGTCATTTGGTCATACCCTCCAGAATTTCAGATCGGCGCACAGGAAATTTCAGTCATCTTGGGAGCGCTTCTCCTCAGATGGTGGTGGCGGATTGGATCCGGTGGGCACTGTATGCTTGCGTATCTGATCTGCCTGATGTTCCGGAGTGGAGCGGAGCCGTCCCGGATCCAGTGGGCTTCCCGGGTTAGCCATTGACTGTATGAAGTAAAAGTCTGTATTTCCATATAAAATACTCACAATAGATGGTATGTTTAACTGTCAAAAGTCAGAAGGATGATATTTTTGTCATCAAAAGTCTCTACTCAAGCATTTAGAGGATAAAATAACCAAAACTGCTTTGTCCACAGGGGGCGCCAAACTGACAAGAACTGAAGTTCCTCATAGTTAGCTAGATTGAATACACCTGAATATGCAGTGTACAAATAATTGTGAGAAATATTTATCAAGCATGCAAAGAACAAGGCTCAATATTTAAATTTTGATCTTTTTTTTATTTTTTGCAGTTCAGGATCTAGGACAAGAGGTACAAGCTACACAGTTCAATAGAGTTGGGTACATAGCATGGTTTCCATCGGGCTTCCCTGTTATTGTTTGGGAACCAAGGAGACCAGTTTCAGGAGTTTTTAAGAGAGATGTCATCCCATAACCGTCAGTAATTTTCCTATTTGACCTACACGCCTTTGCAGATGAATTATCGTCCATCTTTACACCATCAATACACGCCCTTAAGAATGAACTGTGGGCATAAAATGCAGCCACATTCAAGACTTCATTAGTTTACCAACAGCATCATGAACTGCGGCAGAGCAATAATGACTCCATTTCATTTGCTAATGTGAATCAATCTCTAAATGAGATAGACATTTCACCTGTCAGTCAAGCTGTCACTTCAATAACACGGTTGCTAAAAGTGGGTCTGGGCTTAAATGTTAAAACTGCAGCAAAGTTTGCAGAGAACCTCCACAAGTACTTACATTTTAAAAACAGTCCATTACCAAGCTGAATCTGTCGGATAATGCAACAAGGTTCAGTAAGAGTTTTGCTTTCTCTTGTGTTGTCTGTTATTAATTATGTCTATTTATATGTCTGGATGACAGCTTGTGGTTAATGGCAAACAAAAGGATAAATCACTATAATTTCACATCAACTCTGGGGTGAGAACTTCCAGATAATGTTGATTATTTTGATCAAAAAACAGATCCAGGAAATAAATGTACACAGGTGTGTTATGTTCAGGCCTTTCCTTTAAGACAGAGTTAAGTTTTTTCAGAGTCCAAATTCAAAGTTAAAACGCACAAAATACGTCTCATCTGAGTCCTGGAAGTTTTTGAGGTTACAGAGTCATGGGTTCAGGTGGAGGCCAAGCGTCTGAAGTGAAGCCATGAGGTGCCAGGCCTTGTGTGGTTTTTGCAGAGGGGAGTCTGGGCCGTGTATCTGTGGGTGCTGGTTGATAGATGGGTAAAATAGAGCACTCTGTCTGGAGACTCCCTGCAGCGTGATGGATGGAGGTGTGACCAAGTGGCACTGGGGCACATTTGGATGTAGGATATTAATCTGCTTTGACAGAGGAGGGGCAGAGACACCAGCTAATGTGGACCAAGGGATGGTTTTCACTTTTGCACAGATTTCTCCCTCATATTTTCACTTCCTGGTTCTTTTAAAGCTCCTATTAGGAATTTAATATATATATTTTTTTATATTTTAGACTCAAACTCAAATGATGCCCAGAAGCAAAAAAGACCATGAGAGACAAGATTATTGATTTGTAACCGTAATTGGTGTGTATAGGACAAAATGAGCAAAAACTGTTTGGTCTCCAGGGGGCGCCAAAATTGACAAAAACTGAAAAGGAGCTATCATATTGCAAAGACTATGTTGGGAAATTCAGTACATGGATAGCATGTTTTCACACAACCATCTGAATAATACCAATGATACCCCTATAGGAATCTATTGAGCGACTCCAGGTGCTACACCAAAATCCACAAAAATAAGACTCATGTACATGTCTTTTTTAAACTCTAAAGTTTCTTTATCCTTTAAATTTCTTTGTGTATCTGTACTTATGCTGCTGTAATATTGGAGCATTGCAGCACTGAAGAAACAGCCTAATTTTACTTTTTCTAAAGCAAAAATTCACAGCCTGTGACACTTTACATTGTGCACTTGCAGATGTGCAGGACAAAACCAGTAAAGACATAAATAATAATATATAAAAGGTTCCCCTATGTGCGTGAGCAGCACCAAAAGTGATAGAAATCAGAAAGTCCCTTACTAAAACTTAAGATAAGAAAATAAAGGAATGAAACCTATTCACAGTGCTTTTAAATGAGGTTTCCAAGCAGATAACAGACATGCTATCGACACCCCAGCAGGGCCACCGCAGCCAAAACATCTGAACACGCCCCTGTCTGCGTCAATCACCAGGGGGCCCAAATGTAGGGACTTCTGGGTCCAAAATAACACAGAGAGGAGTCAAAATGTTGTCAAAATGCTCCTGCTTACAAATAAATTAAGTGTATACCTTTTAAACGAAAACTCGGCCACTGTGCAAACACACATAACAATAATTTTCCTCAGTATTTAAAAGTGCATTAAAAATTAAGATAAAGCCGAGTTTTAACTCCACAAATTTTACACCAAAGTTCAATCATGTTGAAGAAAACACACTTTTATAAAAGACCGCCTCAGGCAACATAACTTATCATGTCACTGTCAACCGTCAAGATACTTTCTCCATTCACCTTTCCAGTTTCCTATCCGTCGGATTATCCATCCAGTCAGACAGCTGTTTTCTGACTGCATGGCTGCTTTTGGTCAATTTAATGGAGTATAATGACAGAAATTAAATTTCAAGTGTCAAAACTTCACAACTTTCCTGTCACTTATTGATTCACAGCTGAAATTATTCTGCACGCTTGGATAAATACTCTATAATGTCCCTTTAATAGGACTGGATTTCTGTCACATTCATATATTCTCTATTATCTTTTAGATCCAAGCATCTTTTTAAGGTTAGTGTCTCTATAAAAGCAAAAACCTGAATATGTATGAGGTTAAATTTAGAGCTGAAGTGACATGAGTTGCTGACCACACAGTGACCTTTCACGAGTCTCCATAAAGTTATTCTTACACATGCGTGTCCCTTTGAACAGTATATAAGAGGAGCTGCTAGCTTTATGGTCATTGCCATTCTGAGGCCGTTGCTATTCTCTATCTCTGGATCCCAAAGCTCTTTACTGCAGTCTCCTCAGTCCTTGGCCGGATGCAATAACTTACAGACTTGCCATGTTAAGTGCTGTTCTAGTGCTGTTAATGCTGCTCAGAGGAGAGAGGATCGAGGAGAGAGGAGGGAAGTCAGAGGGGGTTACACAAAAGCAGCTTTTGTGGAAGTATCCTAAATTTACAGAGTTTATAATCTGATACAAATGCACATAATAGATGCTATAAAAACGACAAAATGTTGTGGTAACACGGTTCAAAGCAGCCTCCAGAGGAAAAGGACATCTCACATCTCTACCTATGTTCTCTCTTTACTTCCTCACATCTCTACATGCATCTCTGATTGGGAGGATTAAAGCATGAGTGAGTGGTGCAAATGAGGAATCATGAAACTTAAGGGCTTTGGATCTTAGCCAAGATCAAAGTGTTGGGCGGTATGAACAAAATCTTATATAACAACATGAGTAATTTCATTTCAAGGTAACGGTATATATCACTGTATGTTTTTTCTAACTGTAAATTCAATTAATGGCTTAAAAATAACAATACTGATGCATTTGTTCGTTTTCCCTTTATTTTTGAACTCGAGTTTGTAAACAAATGCAAACAAAATGCCAGACCAGTCTGGCGATTTTTTTATCATACAGCGTACCTTTGGCGAAAGACTCTACCAAGCTCTTTTGTATGAGAGGAGCTGCTGCAACTTTAGTTTTTGGTGGAGCAGGTACGCCACGCATCTTCTGGCTCTCATAATAGAGCTTGGTGTGTTTCATCTTTAGGTGGTGGAAGAGGTTGCTGGTGTTTCCTCCTCCAGCAACGACAGCCACACGACACTCTTTGCATAGTATTGTTTTTTGATCATTGCAGGGTTTTCTAAATCCGAAGAATCTCCAGACAACCGATGTCACGACTCAGAGCAAGTTCCTCCTTCTCTCCCTCGTGTTGGGTGGGTCGGGCTGCATCCATTTGCCAGACCACCACCAGTGAAGCTGTTCCTTCTTCATCTATACTACGCCGGACACGCTGGTGGTTATAGGGAGTGCACCCAAACCTGACCAATCAAATGGAGTGAACAAACTCCACACGACATGCTGGTGAATATACGGAAATGCACCCAAACAGATGCGCTCTGGCTTTCCTGTTAGCGAGCGTAGACTACCACACACTGACTCAGAGAGATGCAGCAGACATCTGCTTTCTTTCTCCGGTATAAATGGTATCGCAAAATTTCTATCAGTAGACACTTTTATACTGTCACACAGTATATACCGTCATACCACCCAACACTAAAAGCTCATGACTTAAACTTCAGATAATCCAGCCTACACCTCTTGGCACCGTTTTTGGACATTTTCCACTTTCAAAGGCAAAACCAATTTCATCTGGAGACTCACAGCAGAACATCGAACTGGAATTATTTATTGAACAATATAAATTTTGTTTAATTGAACCCACATAGCCAAATATTTAATGTGACTACTCGAAATGATTCCCCTCTACCACTCTGCAAGTTCAAAGGTACAAGGCAAACCCAAAAAATGTGTTTTGGTCCAACGTTGAATGTTTTGCATGTCCCATTAAATAATCTTTAAAAGTTCATCCAACAGTCTCAGTATGAAAAAATGTCTTCTTAAGCACTGTCAAGAAAAATTCCAGTTCATTTCTACTACAGGTGGGACAATGTGTACAAAATGTCAATCTGCATGATAGATTTGAAGCCTGTCATTACGACAAATGCAGGAACGTGCTTTTTCCTGATCCTGTCAGTGCCGACAGAAGGTCTCTCAGCAGGACGACTTTCCAACAGTTCACCTGTCTCCTGAGCGAGACCGGCGCTCCTTGATCAGGAAGCTCAGCAGATGGGGATTCCCCAGGTGTATCTGACAGGAACAGACGAGGCAGTTTCATTAGTTCACATTTACTTCATGAGGAGGTTTAATCATTGGTAAAAAAACATGCTCATTTGCTGTTGTTTGAATTTGTGCAAACAAGCCGACATTGTGAAGGGAAGGGAAAAAAGTGTCAACTTGGTGTTTGGAGAGAAAAGATCACAAACCAATGAAGAAGGACAGAGTTGGATTTCTCATGTCCCACTTCAGCTGAACGAAAAGATATCTGATATCGGCTTTCCGGCCATCCAAATAACAAAAACCTCATGGCTCCATGTCTACAAATGTCAATCCTGCTGACAGAAAGTGAGGTGTAATATTCGACGGTGACCTTTCAGTTGAAAAACAAGTCACAAAAATAGTTCAATAATGTTTTTATCGACTTTCTGAGGAGCATCTCAGAAAACGTACACTTCACTCCTGACCTTACTCTCCAGAAGGCCATTTGGGCTTTTTATCAATTTGTGTTCAGATTATTGTAATAAATGTCTCTCGGCAAAAACACACCGAGCTGCTCAGCCTGTCAGGAATATACATAGAAAATCTCGTCTCGCTCATAAAAGCGCTGTTGTCTGTTTAAAAGTGGTTGTCAGGTTTTATTGATGGTTTCGTATTCATATTAACTGTAACTCCCCAACCACAGGTATCCACTAACCACCAGGAGTCAGTAATGCATGATCAAAGCATGATCTCTGCTGTGTTTGATCAGGCCGCCTATTGATCCTGGATCAATGTGGTTTAGTGTGAGTCTTTGAATAACCTGGGTGTGCTATCATCATCATGAAACACTGAACTAGATCTTTTTGCGATGTGACACTGACTGCAAATGCTGGATTGTCAAAATTACATCTTAGTTTTAGGAATTCATAAAAGATTTCAAAGAATCTACAAGAAAGAAAAAAGATTCAGCATAAAAAACAATCCAAAAATATTTAGAAAGAGGAGATTTTGCACATGACCTGATACAAAATTGACAAGATATTCTACAGACTAAAAAGTAGAGATAAAAGATCGTATAAGAAAACACAGATAAAGACAGAGATGTAAAAAGGAAGAGACAATCATTTAATGCAGAACAGCAGAAATAAAATAGACAAAAGAACAAAAAAAACATGAAGATAGAGAGCAGATAAAAGAAACAGAGAAGGACAAGTAAAAATACAAAACAAAAAAGAAAATTAAATAAAAATTAAGAAAAAGGCAAAGACAAAGAATAAATAAAAGAAAGAATAAAAAAAGAAAAAAGACTCAAAGATGAGAAAATGGAAAGAGAAACAAAAGAGGAAAAAGGAAGGAAAGAAAAATTAAAGAAAAAGTTACAGAAACAGATGAAAGACAGAGAAAAAAAATAAAAAGAAGAAAAGAAGAAGGGACTTAAAAAAGAAAGAAAAAGAAGTTTTAAAAAAGAACAAAGACAGAAATTAGTAAGGAATGACAGAACAAAGGGAAGGGAAAAGGAGAGGAAAAGACCAAAAAATAAAAAATAGGAGGAAAGCATGACATAGAAAGAGTGAGGGAGAAGGAAAAAAGGAGGAAAAACAGGGAGGAAGAAAGGAAAAAAACAAAAAGGTGTGAAAAGTTAGACAAGAAAAAGTGATGAAAAAAATAAAAAAGACAAGGAAAATAAAAGCATGAAAGAAAGACAGGAAAAGGGAAGGACAGAAGGAAAGAGAAAGTTAAACAGAAAGACAAGAAATGACGAAGAAAGGAAAGAAAGAAAAAAGAAAGGAGAGAACAAAAAAGTTAAACAAATGAAAAAGAAAGAAAGACAAAATCTGGGATAAATCCAGAAAAAAAAAAAAACAATAAAAAGAAGAAAAAAGAAAATGTATGAGGTCATAATAATTTCATGAAAAACTGGTGTTTGACTAAAGTGAAGAGCCTTTTATCTCCTCATCAGGCTGACTGGCTCCCTGCTCACCCTCTGCTTTATTAACAGAGCTCCTCTATTAGCTTCAGATCATCTCAGGATCAATATTTGTTAGATTACCCCCCTCAGCTCTGCTCCCCATCCAGGTAAATATCAGACTCTCCATGTGCCCAGTGGGGATTTCTCATTCATACATTTTTTATCCCTAAATATTCACATCAATGAAAACCTCTTTACTCTGAACTTACTCCACATGATTTAATATGAAGATCTTATTCATATTAGATGTTTTTATTACACCGTAGAGTTTGTTCAATAATCTTCCTAATCTGTGAACGAGTGAATTGGCTATAAATAAAGCGTCAGACGTGTTTGTTTAGTCCTCTCTGTGTCCACTTCTGGTCCTCCTGTTATTTTGATCCCAGCAGGGTTTAGTGTCAGGCAAGACTGAACTTTTACCCTTTGCACAAGTAACAGCTGATTCCACGGTGTCTCATGACCACGAGCCATCTGTGTTCGGTGTTTTTTTTTTTTCGTGTGTGTGCGGAGGCGATTGAGCGAGTTGAGACTACTGAGCAGGATTAAACTCTTCTGATTTGTTGTGGGATCTGCTGCATTAAGGGTGTCAAAGCGGACAACTGTGCATCCAGCAGTATTTAAAATTGACCAGGCTTCAGTCTTGCTGAGTTTTGATTGATTTCTGCACTCGTTTCCTGCGTGTGCTCTCAGCCCCTGCGTCTTGTTAGTATTCCCCTCTGCATCCTGCTTTAATGCCCTTCTGTGGGAGCAAACATAGCAGCCAAAAGAGGGGAATTCATATTTCATCAGTTTTGGTGAAGGTGACCCTGCATGTGTGCATCCATAATTAAGTTTCCTCATTCGATATCTATCTAGACGCTGACTTTATGGGCAGATTTTCAATTAAAAATGTTTCTTTTCTCATTTGCATAAAGTAGAATTAATTATTCCGCTTCCTCTGACATGTCAGGTGCACCAGGCTGACAGCTAGACAGGAACTCATGACACAGATGCACATGTGACTATAGCTGTGCATGCACTGGCTCAGGATTCTGGGGAGTTTTATCTCCTATTTTGCAAAATGGTGGACAAAGATACTCAAAATATCAAAGGATTCTGTCCTAGCTGCAGAAACAAAAAGCACAAATCCAGAACAAAGCTTTAAACTATAAAGAAATAATACACCCTCCTATACCGCAAAGACAAATAAGGGGTCAGATGAATTGTTTTACTGCTTATAAGCAAAAAACAACTTTCCCAGAGTGACTGAAGGTGTCCTTTTTAGCTATATCGTATTCCCCGCACACAAAAACCACACACTGTTAAAGTGAAGATCTCATCCTGCCTGCTGCCAAAGCCATTATGCAGGAAACGCTGTGTGATGACTCTGCTCGGAAAGTTGATATAGTGCCGCTCTCTGACAAAACAGCAGCCAGGGACTTAAATGAGAAGAGCCCGGGTGCTTTTTTTTTTCCTTTCTTTTCTTTTTTCAGAGGAGGTGAGAGACAGCTGATAGTTAATATTGTTTCTGAATGAAAATGCAGGCTGTGGCTGATGCTGCCAAGCTGTTGGTTCAAATAAAGCATTTCACTAAAAAAAATGTGAAAATGGGACTGAATGCAAAGAGTCAAATGATGTCAACTGGGGATCGCAGTGACTTTAACATCAATAACCACCATTACAGTGGAGTTTTTTTTTCTCTTTAAGCTGATTTTCAAAAAAGTTGGGACACTGTGTTAACAGATTGTAATGGTCTGCAAATTATTTAAAACCCCAAATTTAAATGAAAAAAAAGTGAAAATGCAGAAAAAGTTTCTGTTTTATGAAAAGCATTTGCCCTAGACATGTGTTTCACCCCCTCTACTCTTACCGACACTCTGTTTACTTTAAGGAATCAGGGAAACCATCGGTGTCCATTATTTCCAAACAGTGGTTTTGGGATTTCATTTGATGTTTCTGGTTTTGAGCCCGCATGCAGTGACTCCCACTACAGAGACATGCCTGTATTGAATAGGGGTGTGCTGATACAACTTTTTGACTTCTGATACGATACCGATATTGTAGCCTTCAATATTGACCAATACAGATATTGATCCAATTTTGGCACAAATTTGTGCATGACAAGTTTTTCACTCAGCTGAAATGTCTTTTTCAGACTGAAACAAAATACTGCCTGGCAGCCGACATCACTCTTACTCCTTACTACTTACTCTGCATGCTGGATCGGGGTGCTGCTAGATATTGGTGCTGGAGTGGAGTCTGGAATGGACTGCTTGTATCGGAGTGCTGATATTGGAGATTTTTGATGGAGGCCGGTACAATCCAATGTTCATTTTTTGCTGATATCAGACCGATATCAGATATCAATATTGTATCAGGACATCCCTTGTATTTAATGTTATGCCACTTTAGGGCTCAGAGATCACAGCTGCTAGTGTTGATTTTAGGGTCTTGTTTCCTTTGTACTGACATTTCTTTAGAATCTCAGAAGATGTTGTATACTGTAGATGATGAAATCCCGGTAAAAGTTTCTAGGAGTAACACTATCATGGAAAAATTTGAACCATTTTCTCACACAGTCCTTCACAGAGTGGCAAACATTGTTTGTGGGAATCATCATTGGCCCCACGATATATTATCACGATACTTGGGCCACGATACGATTTTTAACATTTTGCAATACAGTGAGTATTGCAATACAATATATCGTGATTTATACGATTTTTTCACCTGTTTAGCTAATTTCGCATTTGTCTTTCCATTATGTTTGTCTTAATTACACAGTATTTTATTTTCATGTAACACATCTTACAAACCTTGTGTTTCAGGTCAAATTTAAATCAAATCAAATTTTATTTATATAACACCAATTCACAACAGTCGTCATCCCAAGACGTTTTCGAAAGAAAAAGAGCCGGTCTAGACCACTCTCATCTCCTTTGTGCACTGCTTGCATTCCTCATGTCTTTCCCCAGGTCCTGCTCTATTTGTTGCACTATTTTTCTCCTGCTCTCTGATGTCACCTCTGCCAACCTCACTGGACAAACAGTTGATTTTATTTTTCCATTATCATAGATTTGATTCCATGGTAACAATTAATTTAGAAAATAAACCTGATATTTGGTAAATGAGCCGATACACTATTTCACAAGACAAAATATCGCAATACTATGCTGTATCGATTTGTTCTCCCACCCCTAACAAACACCTTTATTAAACCTGTAAATGCACTTATTTGGCTGACAGATGTGCCTCTGTGTGTTTTTCCCTAGCATTACAGAACTTTCTAATGTTTTATCTCGTTAAAACAAAAAAAACAAAAAACATTCATTTTCAGCTTTGTCTAGAAAAAACACACAACATGCTCAAGTCTCATCACACCCACCCTGCATTTGATATTAAATTTAGAGAGTTCAATCATGATTTAATGATTCCTTGATTTTGTTTGATATTAAACAATGGGAAACAGAGAGAGATGAAAATACACTAATACAATGAAAAGGGAAACACAAATGGAATACAGGAGCCATTAATTCTGCCCTTAAACATCCTCATGATCAGATAGGGACTCAACTGGGCTTGTAAAAACAATTTATCCCAGATAAATGGCTACCCTACACATTTCCTCTCTGACAGCAGGTGCAATAATAGCTTTCTATCCCCTAAAATTACTCTCAAAGACGTGTGAAATTAACCAGGAACACATTGCTCATGGCTTCATGCTGGTGTTTGCAGCACTTGCAGCAATTTCCTGTGATGACTTGTGGTGCGTGATGCGATGGCTGCCTGGATTAGTCGGGGCTATCTCTGATTCTGGTTGTTTGTCCCTTCATCATCATCTGTTTCCTCGAACAGATCAGAGCAGATTGGAGCCGGCCTTAATCTCAGAGATCCACATTGCTAAGGCAGCTGCTGGCCGACCAAGAGGTTGGCACTGCCGCCACCTTGTAATGACCACGACAGCTGGTGTGGCGGCAGACACACATCCTAGTGTTTAGAGACACAAGTGTGCTGGATCGCCGTGACTTTTCTGCATCTGCCATATTGAGGAGTACAAACTTATACCACATCGATCGTGTGAGTGTTTCCCACACTTCTGAGCAAAACCAAAGCTGTAGGACCAACCGCAAGACGAAACTACCTTCATGTTACATCCTCTTCTTTTTTCTCTGCATACATCTACTCTCCTCCTTATCTTTCTTTTTCCTCTTCCTTCCCTTCCTCTCCTGCAGACCCTCTCATGGAGAGTCCTGCAGCAGCTGCTCTCAGGGCTAAAATCTGGATGGATTACAGAATCTAACAGATGCTGCTTCTGTCTCCACCAGACATGGTGGCAACCAAAAATAAAGCAGATATGCACAAGTGCAGAAATGGCATTGAAAGCAAGCGTAGTAAATTCTTCTTCTTCTTTTTTATTTTATTTTATTAGGACTACATTTGGAAAAAGAAAGAAAAAAAAGGTACTACAGGACTAGGCAGCACCAGTATTGCATTTTACCCAGAGGACAGCCGATGTAGCATAGAGAGAGCTAAGTATAGATGCAGCCGGTTCTGAACGAGCATAGATTGCATTGTTGCAGTGACCCTTGTGGATCCAAGGGGCCACTTGGAGATGTAGAAAACCCATATCATTTATCAACAATCAAGTCAGCAACAACAGACTCATCCTGTTAGTGTGCGTGGAGTTTAGTGAAGTCAATGTTACAGCGAAATGTATTGTGGGTAAATACGTCTACAGATCAGTTGGACAACTTAGACTCAACAGCTAAGTCACTTAAGTTGCCACAATTGACATTTCTTTGAGAATACTAGAGCTTTCCTCGTCTATTCCATGTTTTTTTACACATGTAAGTAAGTGTAAGAATAACCAATCTCAAGGCCCAAGTCCTAGGGCTCTATTTTCGTGCCTCGCCGGCGATACGGCGCATGCGCGGCGTAAGTCAGGTCCGCTGCGCGACAAGGCGTTCCCAAGCACAATTTGGTATTTTGGTGAGCGGCGCAGCCCGGCGTAAGTATCCCCCCTCCCTAACTCAGCTCCTCCCAGCGGCGTAAGTCGTAGGGAGGGAGGAGAGAAGGCATGGAGTGGATTTAACGCAGCCGAGACCTGTATTCACCAATCACATAAGCTCCTCTCCTCGCCTTTAAATCCGCCACCGGCGAGGCGTATTACTATTTTCGTGAAGTAGTCAGAGAGATCAAGAGATGGCTGAAGACAACAATGCCACACGATGGCGACAGAGGGCAGAAGGCGTTCTTCACACTCTCTCATATGAGCACAGATGGATTTGGTGTGTGTAATGTTGTACCCAGTGGTAAGACAAACACCCTTTTCCACAAATAAAGACACTCACATAAAGTTGCATATATTCATACCTCACGTGACAAAGGTGGGTTGAGCGCACAGATCACAACATAAACTCCAAAAATGGCATTAAAATTGGAACCATCTGTGCGTAAATGACGCATCGCGCTCCGTGGCCTGGCTCTTTCTTTCATAGATGTTGGTATATAAAATAAATTTGGCCCACAAAACTGAATATTATAATATCCGTATGTCGGCTTAAAGAAAATAACTCATCTGATCACTGAAACAAATCATCTGTCCAGCCGCCGCAGCAGCAGCTGCAGCAGGACGGGGAGAGGACAAGGAGACATGTCCAGGTCGAGCTGCGCGAGAAATAAGAGGAAGAGGAAGAAAGAAAAGGCGGGAGACGAATTACATATTTTGTTCACTTCATCGTGTGTGTCTACTTACTAGATATTTAATTTCACACAGTTTCAGCTGTGTTGATTCAGTCAGGTTGTGTGTCCAAACGTGTGCTAATGCACTCATCAGATCAGATATAGATCAGAATATATGGATATAGATCTAAATGTATGTGCTGACTTAGATTAATAATTGTTGTTGAATATTTATTGCACTGAAATGTGCCTGACACTGTGGAAACCTGCTAGTGAGGCATCAGTAACGTATGCACACTACGCCGCCGGTCTACCAAAATACCTCTAGACCAGCTGCGCTCCGCCCGCGCTGAAAGCTGACCTGGTTTGAATCAGCGAGCTTTCAGCACACTTAATACGCCGGCGGCGAGCATGAAAATGTCACTGCATCAGCTGATCCTGTCGACACCTCCCCCTACCACGCCCAGCTTGGCGGACCTCTGTGCACCTCAGTCCACGAAAATACCAAACTAGCTGTACGCCGGGCTCCGCCAGACGAAAATACCAGTGCGCAGTCTGCCACCCTCCACCGCCTCACCAGTGGACACGAAAATAGAGCCCCTAGTCTCCATTTTCTCAGTCCAGTGGAATCAATACTCAAGTCTGAGCCCAAGTTCCGGCCATCAATGCTTAAGTATTATTAAGTCATGAGTCTTGAAACTTGGGGCTTGACTCCGACTTAGGCTCCTGTAAGGAACTTTCAGTTTGTGTTAAATTTGGCGCCCCCTGTAGACAAACAGTCTTTGCTCACCATGTCTGTCACAAAAAATCTTAATCTGCTGACTTTTGATGGTCAAATAAGTAATTTATTATCAATATTTTGTACAGTAAATTGTAAAAACAGGGCTGTTTCTTCAGCTGCTCGGCTGACACCTACACCCTCGCACCAGTTTCAGTCATTAAAAATTGCCATATGAAAATCCCTGCTATTGTATATCACAAAAAGTCATCATGGGAATTTTCGGTTATTTCATAGACATTAAAAAACCTGGAGCTTTAACAGAGAGAAGAATTCTCTACATTAGTGAAATGTGTAAAGTCAGAAAGTTTTATAGAGTACTTTACTGTTTTCTCCAAAATCTGAAAACAACTTAATTTTAGTTTAACTTTGCTTGAGATTTAAATACTCGATAAGACAAGGATATTTATTGTTCTGTATCCAGTCATCAAATATCATTACCTTTTTGATGAATGCTGATTTATTCAAGTTTTATTTATGGTTGTACTGGCCCACAAACTTCAACAACATTACAGTTTCTGCTCCCCTCTTCATCATTACAAAATCTACATATTGCTAGTGATTAAATATTTAACATGCCAAATAGAGTTTTAGTAGCAGGAATTATTAAACTTATCCAAAACTGAAGGAATCATGAGCAGGAAATAATTCATTTCTTGTGAAATGTTCTGAAAAATTGATTTCAGGGTGTTAAAAGTTTAAATTCATCTTACTGAATAAAACAGAGTGTTTGTAAAGGAGAAAGTGATGCAGTTTGTTTTCGCACAGCCTAGATTTATTCCACATAAAGGTTTACGGTTATATTTTGTACAACATGGATTCCTGCTGAAAAAGAAAGCTCAGAAATAAAAAATTCAGACTCTCTGGAGTTCAGTCATTAGAATTCTCCGCTGACCCAACATCTTTTTGAAGAAACGCTCCCCTCTGCTTTCCTTTGTGCAGCTTAATGCCTCCTGCAGTGGTAGCTGCTGGATATGGAGGAAAATACAATTACAAAACTGCTTTTCTGATCTTAATACTTTCATCCAAAAAAAACCCCTCAACTCCACTCCACCCCGTCCTACTCCCTCTCCTTTTTCTACCAAGCTCTCTGACAACCCGGTCAGAGCAGACAATTTGTGAATATCCTCTGTAACTCTTTGCCCTTTCTTTCCACTACTTTTGCTTTGTCTCCCTCAGAAAAATACATTAAAAAAAAAACGCCTTTTTGATCACTGAATTATGTGTCACACTTGCAAACAAAAAACCCCTCATGTTAGGCCCTTTGCTAAACTCTGAGGGAGGATAACACACTTACACAATAGCCATTTAGTGCAGCGCTCACACACTAATCACAAGCACAGAGTTACTCATACATATTCATAGCTAATTTGCAGATTTGAAGATGTAGAAAATGGGGAAGTATATAGAAAGACATCACATCAAAAACACTTATTGTGCTGTACTGATGCCCTCTCTGCGAGCTAACAGCAGCTAACAGTTTTTGTCCTCTCTCAAGGATACGCACAGCTTTCACTGAAGTTATTTAACATGAGAAATACAGCAAAGATACAGAAAAGGCTTTTTTATGTGTCTGCTTAGAAAATGCACAGAAAGATTTCATTCTGAAAGGGTAAGATCTGCTGTTGTGTTACATTGTTTTCAATCTAGAAGTTTGTAAACCGAAACCTCTCCCACAGTAAAAAATAATGAAAGTGAGATATAAGAGAAACCCTTTGAATTACATGCATTCCTCCACTCGTACTTACAAATAACCCCGGACACACAGATACATCAATATTATGAGTCCCAGCCTTAAAATATGTTATTTCAATCTGAATCGTCTACAGTACAATATTGTTTTTGGGAAAGTAATTTGCAACAGATGGCTGCATGTAATTTTAGACTGAAGCGATGAGAGAGCAAAACACAATTTAAGAAATAGAAACAAGGAGAGAAAACACTGTTTTGATGCTGAGGCGCGTATGCAAGAAGCTGTTCAGTCTGGTTTCGGGGGATTTTGTGGGATTAAAAATGCAAATTTGGGTATAAAATAAGAGGATGTAAACTGTATATGAGGTCCTGCACGGCAACGTAACCATAGTAACATGAACTTTACTCAAAAGTGGAGGAACTTTTCCCTGCACATCAACTTAATTTACAACAGGTTACTGACATGACTGGGTTGAAAAAGTTCTACAGTTTTGGAACAATGTTCTACAGCATAAAAATACAAAGAGAGTACATAATATAGGGCTGGGCGATATGGCCTCAAATCAATATCACAATATGTTGAGCAGTTCACCTTCATAGCAATAAATGGATAATAACTACTTCGTCTACTTCAGCTGCCGCTCCAGCCGCTACAACTTTTAAACTGTCCTTCATCTCCTCACCTGACTTTCCCTCTTTGTTACAGACTGGATGGGGTGGGGTCATGTCTCTGACGTAGGACAGCGTCTTTAAGGGACATGAGACTATAGCCTACCTACACACATCCAAAACCAACTTCTATTTATTTATTTTTTGGGCACTGAATATACTGACATGGGCAAAATGATGTCAGTTATTGTCGTAAATTTCGGTATTGGTAAATTTTCGGTTTATCGCCCAGCCCTAACATAACTTCACGAAAAGTTTCAATTTCATCCTCAATACAAAAGGCATCAGATTAAAAACAGGCATGGCTCTCTGTAGTGGAAGTCTCTGCATTTGCTCAAATCACTACCAAAATCCACACACCCCGCAACCACAAATACAGTGTGACTACACCATGCATAGAGAAATCAATAGAAATATGCAACAGAAACATAAATGACCTCTTTGGGCCTGAAAGGTCTGTAGTGGACTGAGGCAAAGTGAAAACTGTCCGGAGGTCTGACCAATCAAAATTTGACATTTTTCTTGGAAATCACGGACAAGAAAGGACAACCAGCTCGATATTAGCACAGCAGCTCAAAAGCTAACCTGTAAAGGCACAGGGATAGACTATGTTCATAACATCCTAAGAGGCTCCAATAATGTTGAACAGGACATACAGGTTGTAAAGCAAAATATGTTGCCACCGAAACAATGCCTTTTGCAGGAAGACTGCAAGTTTCAGCAATTTTTCAACAAAGCAAATATGACAAGAGAGACCGAGGACTGCAGCAGCTGAAATACCAAAGAACGCAAGAAGACGCTTCACTTTTAAAACTCCAGACATAAGTCTTAGTTCCCAAACATTTACAGAATGTTGTTAAAGAAGGACTGATGCAACACAATGGTCAACATGCCCCTGTCGTAACGTTTAGAAACACTTCTTGGGCACTGAATTTACAATAAGCATTAGTAAAACGTTCCTCTCCTTGTGTAACAAATCAAATTTTGTCTAATCTAACCCTGACCGTTTCTGTCTTCTCCTGCATGGCACAGAAAAGGGAGGGACACTTGCAGGAAGAAGGACAACAACGACACAACTGGTGAAATGAAAGTGACTCAGAATAAGGTCATTTTTTTAACAACAGAGACTTTGCAAAACAAACAAAACAAAACAAACAAAAAGGAGGCCATGCCCGTAAGAACTGTGTATTGCTACATCGATCTATTAAGTTCAAACACAAAATCTCTCTGCAAGATTTGAAGACAAAAATTGCCTGAATGTGATGTTTTCTGCAGTTTTGAGAAACTTGATCCAGTTTTACCTTTTGCACTGGTGACTATTTTTACTCATTACAATCAGTTTAAGGCTTGTTTTTGCTTGTAGTATCTAAGAATGAGACACTATATATGACATTGTTAGGTGAATACTACTTATGGTATGTCTTAGGAAGGATTTATACACCACTCATGCATGACATAGTGTCTTCTCGGGCTGCACAATTTCGGCCAGAAATAAAATCCAGATTTTTTTCTCTGAAAACTCAATTAAATTTCAATTTCAATTTTATTCAGTGACAACTTTCCAAACTTCACTTTAATATTACGTTTTTCTATCATCTCTCAAAAAGAAACCACTGAAAACGATGAAGTGCATATGCCAAGCCAGTAAATGGCACTGTAACGCTGCAGAGGAAATGCACAAAAGACAGAAGAAGAGTACAGAGAATGCGTATAAAGGTTGTTTAGGCTGGACATGCGCCACAAAATAGTTAACCTATGAGTCACATAATCATTTCGAGAGACGATGTAGGCATCCACACAGAGATGAAATAATAGTCATTTACGGATTTATGACCTGTTTTCAAAAAGTGCCATTTACAGTCACCTGAAACGCCATTTCTGTGTGGATGAAACGCAATAAGACAAAAAGCTTTTGCGTTTACTCCTGAAGACACTTCTTTGTGGACGGGTTGATACTGCCTTCAGACAGACATTGCAGCGGGGAGTGGTTTGCTCTTCATCCAAAAACTGCGAAATCGTACCAATTCCACACGACTGACTTGCTCTCGCCCTATTTAGCCACGAAATTATCGTCTTCTTTTGCAAAAGCCATGTTTGTTTACACTGCTGTGAGTGGGAACTGGGGAGCGCTCCTGCAGGAAGGGGGAGCCCACAGTGACCTGGAGGCACGAGACACTAACCAGAGAAAAATCGATTTGACGATTTAAATTTTTTTAACATCGTCATAATCAAATAATCCGATGACGATTCAAACAGATCAATCGGGCAGCCCTAGTGTCTTCTTGTCACCAAAATCGACACGGGCTGAAAGTTCCTCACAGGATGATTTTAAAAAGTTTTGCATAGCTTTCTGCTTTTAACCCAAACTGTAGGTGGAACATTAAATCAAACAATTGCTAAAATCTGCTTTTGTGTTGTGCTAATATGAGACATTATCACTTTCCAAAACAGTGTGAATATCTGCAAGAATACAAATGAAAGTAAAGGTCAATAAAAATGTTTTCAAATGTAAATATATTCGTGCCGATGAAGTCAGAAACTCAGCTTAAAATTTGGTTTTAAAAGCCGAAACTACAAAATCTATAAAACAGTACAGATGCAACACGTATGAAAAGTGCCTCAGGGTTTATTTGAGGAACTGTCTCTTCCTGCTCCTCTTTACTGTAAACTCATTATGTATACAGGTAAATTGATTAATTGTGTTTGTGGTAATAAATCTTTAAGGGAATTATGCTTCATTATTTATTGGCTACTGGCATTAAAACCCTTGGACATTTATCTGAAATGTTTCAAAACTCATATTCAGCTCAGATAGACGGGAGTTTTTCCTTATGGATCTGTGCCGTGTGAAGACCGATAAAACAATATCTGTCTGCTGACGCTGCTGTGAAGGTTCAGGAGTCGAGTGAGACAAAGCAGGTGTATTAAGTGAGAGAAATCAGAGCTATGGATGATCCATCGAAAAAAAAGAGTTTCTCAGAGGGGAGTACTAACACCTGCTAAGATTTCATGAACATCTGTCCCCGTGGCAACCTCAGGGGTAACAGAAGCTGCAGGCTCTCGGGACTGAGTGCAGATCTGTTGAGCACATCCATAAAATATGCACTAAAGGTGCGCGTCTGAAAGCAGAGAAAACGGCCTGCAAAACACGAGCTAGACTTCAGTAAAGGACACAGTCTGCAGGCCTGTGCATTGATCTGAGTTCGACCGTATTTTTCTTCATTCCTGCGTTAAATTTTATCATCATAAGCTCAAAATGATTGCTGCTTTAACACTCTTTTATCATAGATCCACTGTTATGTTTATCCCCTCTGAGTCACTGAGTGCTGCCAATAACAGAAAGGGAGAGAATTAAAATTTAATGCTGTTTTCAACTCAAAGAATTTTATTACTGGAGTTATTTAATGAGTTATAGTCTCAAAGCCTGTAACTGCTGCATAAACTCAGAGCACAGCGTGTTTTTAAGTTGCATATTTTCACAGCGGTTTCTAAATGACACTGTGTTCCTGACTCTAATTTGTTTTTCTAACTTAGACCTGTGGCAGCACAGGTTAATTGGATCTTTCATGATTTAACCCTGTACCTTTGAAAGTAAATGCAAAGATGCGCCGCCCACCAGCTGTTTACCATATTGAAAGGTCTATCCTTCCTAATACCTTGTAGGCAAATGTAATTAATTTGCCTGTAAATTATCAGCTGCCTGGTGATCCCTTCACATGTTTAATTCTAACCTCTGGGAAACAGAGTGAATGACAATCAACCCAGCTGCCAAAGCGCCTCCTCCTCAAACACAGCTTCAGCAATACGAAAGCATAATTTCTGAATAACATTTGGTTTAATGAAAACAGTGGTTCGAGCCATGACCTCTAGCTTATGCAACTGTGAGGGAGCATCAAGAAAAGGTAGTTTAGGATTTATTTGCATGTACTTGCTAAACTTTGGATCTGTAACAGCTGTTTGTTGCCTGATGAATTAAACAACCAGCAAAATAAAAATAAATAAACATTTTCTCAAGTTTTGTCTAGGTTCAACCCTCACCCAAGGGTGAACATTTTTACTCTGCAGAGTTTGCACCATTTTGCTGTACTTTCCAGATCAAAAGAACAGCTCCAGCAAAAGGATGTGAAACAGTATCCGACATGATTTGAGGTATTTTTTTTCTCCTTTTGTCGGGTGTGTCAAAGGTCGTGTGCAATTGAAGGTCCAAAGATTGTTTTTCAGGGGACATGACTGCGGTTGTGTGATTTGCGAGAGGGGTAATTGAAATGTGCCAAAACATATAAAAAAAAAACATATTAAGATTATATTAGGGAGGAGGGTTCCAAATGTGCTATGAAGTGATGTTGCATGGTATAAATAGTACATGTTCCTGATGTTCTTTGCTTAATGAGTCAAATGATTCAACAGGGCTCTCAAGTCTCATGCATTCAGCGTGACATACGCATTCCCACCCGTTCACACACCCACACGCCACACATTGTATCTCTCACGCATTTAAATTACCATGGTGACACCCACCAAGTTGCACCTCTTAAACAACAGAACAGGTAGGAATCAAGTGAGTTCCCAAGAGAGTTCAAAAGCTGCGTGCCACGCACAAGCCAATCAAATAAAGTATATCTACATAACAACCAATCAAAAAGTGGCATTGCTGTGTCCCTGTGGATTTTGATATCCCATGGTTTGCTTACAAAAGAAAACGGACACTCACTGAGATAAAGCAGGTTTCATAAGGACGAAAAAGACCTGATGGTTACAGTAAGTCAGTGACCTACACCTGCCTCAACACCTCATGGCATATAAACTAATATGATAAACTAAAGCCCCATGCTATTGCTATTAACAGCTGCATTGACAGATTTAGCCTCTGTGCAGCCATTTCCAGCCATTTTCCCCTCCACAAAAGCAATGATTCCCTCAAAGTCCACCTGTTTTGTTTTGTGTTTTTTTCTCTGGAAAAGATGCTGTTCTCATACATACTTTTTAAAGTTCTGATACTCATGACAATGTTATGCTGATGTACCAAAGGATCAAGTATATCCATGTTTGTGAAACCTATACTAAAGTAAAATTCATCTAAATGCTCCAAAGCCCTCATTTGAACAACTCTCCTCCACAACAGGTAACTTTACATAAAATAATACCTTTATTCTCATAAATAATGACTTTATTCTCATGTACAATGGCTTTAGTCTCGTAGTAATATCAAAGTCAAAGTCTGTTGTATTTATTAGCAGATATATTATCTGCAACAAAAAAGAAAATCTCACTCTAAGCTTAGTTCAAAACTTGAGAGGCCTGATTCAATGTGGATGCCATTCATATTTATATAACATGAATCTCTATATCCACTGAGAGCGGAGAGGGAAAGCAATGCCTCTGTCTCAACATGTCCACTACTTTCTACAAATTGGTTCAACGCGGCTGTCGGGCAGTCTTATTTATTCAGCACAAACCCCCTTTCTCAATTGTGATGGGGCGCCATTAAACGCTCTGTCATTCTTTGACCGGCGCGCGAGTCTCTCTCCGGTGCCGGGAGTGCGCACGGAGCGCATTCGTTCCCCGCGGTCCTGCACTTCAACAAACTGTCTCTTTTGACTCTTTTCTCCCCGCTGTAATCGTTCGAGAGTGCACACTCTGCGGCTACATGCCATGCAAACACACAAACACACAGAGACTTACCTGCTGCCATCTTCCCAAGCCAAACCAGGGCACTTCCTGGTCCCACGGTAAATCGCGCTAGGTGACCACCGGACTACACCATTATATTTAATTTTGGTATTATTTCATTATGTCGTGTTATAAATGAATAAGGTCAAAGCTGTATGGAAGCCTTTTAATGCCTTTTTGTCCATGTTGAAATTTATGATTGATTGTTGAATTTGGTGTTCAATTTGCTATATTGTTCCTTAAAACTCCTATAATTTATTTATGGTTTTGCCCAGGGGAGGAGCTAAGGGGGATTTAAAGGGGGAATTTGCGCACTCTGGAGAGAGCTCTTGGGCGAGTGGCATCGTAGATCTGCTTCAAGTGTAAGTCCTCCTCAGATTCTGCTGAAAATACTATATTTGTTTGTCTATTTTTTGTCATCCTGCGCTGTAAATATTTTCTGCCACTGATTGCTGCTCTTGGGAAGTTGGTGTAAATAAAAAAATTTTCACCTGCACTATCATTTTTGTCAGAAACAAAACTGTGACTAGTGAAGCTTTCTGAAGCAATGAGGTTTTCCAGCCCATTTCTTTGCCCCAAGGCTCACTACTCGAAGCTTCATTCAGTGCTCACTAGCTCCATCTGTTGCCAGAGTTAAACTGTGACAGCCAAGTCATTCAGATAGATTTCAAGGGCTCTATTTTCGTGTCCACCGGTGACGCAGCAGAGGGTGGCGGACCCGTTTTTTTTGTCGTGCTTTTATTTTGAAAAACGACTCACAAAATGAACCAGTCATGTCACCTGTGTAATGCAAAGCCTCGTTTGTAATTGGTCGGGGCTTTGTCAGACACACCCCCTTCATACTCAGTACATGCCTTGAAGCCTCGGCTTCAAACGTCCCATCACTGTTGTTCGCTGCCTTTTGGGTAGTTGGTGTAAATAAAATAATAAAATTTAAAAAAAAAACACTGGAGTTTTTGACTGCGCCTTGATTTTTGTCCTGAACAAACACGTGACATTAGGGTAAAGAGAAAGGGAAAAGTAATGCCTTTGCTTCAGCATGTTCACTACTGACTACAGCAGGAAGTCAGAACTGTAGTCTTCTATGGGACTGCTTTTTGGACCGAGCCAACTCTGATAGCAAACCCAGTGACTTATCAAAATCTATGAGCAATATCTTACAGAACAGAGTCATGCAAGAGGGGGAAATACTTCAAATCTTACCTGTTACCTCGGCAACAGACACCCAGATCTCTCCAAGGAGTTAGCATATCAGGAGCATGTCAATAAGAAGACCAACTCTGCATGTTGATACGTAAGCCTGCTAAGTTATAAGTTTCATGAGAACAAATTTATTAAGCTATACTTATATATGCGAGCTTTTAATAGTAAAAACAGCTAAATAACTACTTCCCAATGTGGCCTGCCAACTCTTCGATATCTGCTTTGTAGTGTTAAAGGCCACAGCCAATAAACAAGGCACACTTTGATGTAAATTTTATAGTTCCTTTGAAAAAATAATGCTCCCAGATCAATACAAAAAATGGAGTTTGAGTTTACCATCCACTTCACTCCACTCCAGGATGACTTGTTGGTATAATCATGATTTGCCATTTATGTAGTTATTTATATACACTGGCACTGCGTAGGTTTAGTCTGTAACACATAATACTCAAACATCTGGTCCAGGGACTGGCAATTCAGGAAATCAGGGGAGAGTAAAAAGGGATTTGTTCAGTAATTTCACTTGCAAATGTTTTTCCTCTTTTATATTCCCTCCTTTCATAGTCTTTAGTAAGATGAATTTTAATGTTTCTGGGTGTTTTTAAAGCAGATTTGAGCTTTTCTTACATCAGAAATGTCCCTTTTTATTTTGCTGGTAGTAATGTTGTTTTTAGTAGAAAGCTTTTTCTGTGGGCTTTGTTTTCTTTCTGCTTATTGCATTTGTTAAATCAATGTTAAAATCTTGTGTCAGGTGTGAAATGTTTGTCCAGTTCAGTAAAAACAGACGTCTCGTATGATGGCTTTTGGCTTTGCAGACATCCTCTCCCAGTTTCTTCTTTTTCCCCCTAAACTCTACGTCTCTTTTTGTCTCACAATCTGTGACTCACCAAATACAAATGGCTCCACAGTCCTTATCTATCATATTCATTCACTGCAAAATGCCCTCAAGTGTTTTTTCCTTGTTTCTTTTCTCTCCTTCCTCCAAAATAGTCTTTGTTCCCTCTCCATTGTTTTGACTCTTTCTGGTTATCTTCATTTCCCTTTTCATCGCAGAATGAGTTACTGGTGTTCATGCTCGGTTATTATTTCTTTATGCTCATGATCTAAAACCTTGAATTCATTGTGTTTTGAATTGCACCTACATGTGCTGAACACTATGTGGATTTAAAGCCAAACAGGAAGAGTAAGTCTGCTCCGATGCCGGCTCTTCTCCCTGTGGAGGTTCAATCAGGTGTGACTCATGGTGAATAAAGGCTTGGAGGACAAATGGAATTCACAGCGAGCCGTCATGCTGACAAGCTTGTCATCTTCTTCTCCTATAATTGTCTTTCCATGTCTCAGCAGGTCAGCAGAGATACAGCTGAAACGTGTAGTCTTGCAGTCATGTCTGCCTGTCATGTCAAAGGCAGCTTTCTAAAAAAGAAAAGAGGACGGCGTTTTGATCTGTGGAGGCTTGAGCTCAGACAAAAAGGTAAACCATTACACCCAAAATACAATTTTATCGCAATTTGTTCGACAAATTACTGTTTATTTATAAGTTTTGTTCTATAACTGCATCACTGCTGTAATTTATCTGCACTGAAATGTTAGCTTACTTCAAAATCAAACTTGCATTGACACCTTTATTTTGCCATGTTTGACCAACCCAGTTTAGCTGTAAGGGCAACATTGACATCTTATCATCAAGCAGCTCTGGGTCAACACAGTTGTTCTAGTCCAGTTTTCACTTTCTCCTTCTGGACCAACTTTTAAAGGAAGTCTAACAAATCATACATGTGATCACCATCAGAAACAATGATATTCTTATTATGATATATAAAAGCCACAATAACCATGAGATGATAATCTGATGTCAATGCCAATTAATCAAGGAATAAAGATCTTCCATTATAGTAATAATTTTAGATATAGCGCGCTTTTACAGGTGCTCAAAGACGCCATACAAAGAAAAAGAAGAAAATAAAAAATAAAACACAATTTAAAATGCAGAAAATTTTGAGAAATAAAGCCATCTATGTAAAAGCTTAAAAAAAAAGACACAATATGAGAGGACAATAAGAGAACACTTCACAGGTTAAAAGCCAATTTAAAGAAGTATGTTTTTAGGAGTGATTTAAAAGAATGGGGGTCGGATATAGTATAGTTTGAGGTCATCGGCACAACAGTGAAACTGGAGTCTGTAATGTTTGAGGATTTTGCCAAGGGGGAGCATGTAGAGAATGAAGAAGAGGCGACCAAGCACCGATCCTTGGGGGACGCCTTGTGACAGAGAAGCGGTGGTGGAGGTGCGGTTGTTTACGTTGATGAACTGGTACCTGTTCTAGGTGAGTGCTATGCCAGTGAGTGGGCTGAGGATTTCAGTCGGGAGAGCAAGATGGAGTGGTTGATGGTATCGAAAATCAAAAAATGTGTCTCCTTCTGATTTCATGGAATTTTTTAAACATTTCAGGAAAGTTTCATAATATAATATTTCATATAATATTTCATCGATCTGATAAAGAGAGCTGAGGGTCTCCAGAACCTTCAAAACATGGTTAATTGTACATCGACTTGAGGAGGGTCAGGTTTAAGATGCATGTGTATAATGTGTGAACCAAGTTTGGGAAAGAAAGCTCTAATTATAATCATTTATCAATATGAACTCCGACATGATTTATAATGCAGCCAGAGTTTGATTTCTCCACTAAAAGATTGATATTTAAAGAGGCTGAAATATAGACAAATTTCCTGCAAGTTGGAGATGATTTATGCGCTAATTAAAGAGAAAATGCTGTGCTGAGGAGTTTTTGGGCAGGAAAAGGAGAATTCATCTCATTCAGCACTCAGAAGGTTGACACAAATAAGAGGAATTATCTTTGCAAGAGTCCAGGACGTTTTGAGAGAGCTGCCAGAGTGATTGACAGCTGCCAATGTTTCTGAAGTGGAGATGACGAAGGAGGCTGTTGATGTAATGGACTGATTTATGATTGAAAGTCAACTAATATGGATCCATCTCCTCCAAACCCCTCATCCAGCTTGGCATTATAGAAAGGAAAAAAAACAACACTCTCTTCCTTTAAGATGTGCCGCTGACTGTGAGTAAAAAGACGACTGGTGTGATACCACTTGCTGGGAAGTGTTGTAACCCTTGGGTTAAGTAAACATTTTTTACCATTTCTAAGACTCAAACAGGGTTAGGAGGTTACTCCGTGAAAAAAAAAAAAAAACATTAAATTTACATTAGGAGGAAAACAGCAAGACTACTCGAACTAGTGCAGTCAGCCTGTCTTTCCAGCAACTCTATCCGGACTCGTTGGTTTACATCTCATACAAATGTATAGTCAGTTGGGGTGGGAATCACTTGTGGGCCAACAATACCATATTATCACGATACTTGGACAATGATACAATATAATTGCAATTTTTTTAACAGTTTGCAATACAGTGAGTATTGTGATACAATATATTGCAATTAATAATTTTTTTTCAACTGTTTCCTTTATGTTTGTCTTATTTACACTGTATTTTTTTTTTCATGAAGCACATCTTGCAAACCTTATATATATTTGTTGTACTAACTTTCTCCTGCTCTATGATTTGACCTCTGACAACCTCACTGGACAAATAGTTAATTTTATTCTTCCATTATCATAGATTTCACTTCATATTAGCAATTAATCTGAAAAAAATCGATATTTGGTAAATGAGACAATACGATATATCACCAGACAACATATTGCAATACTATGCTGTTTCAAATTTTTCTTCCACCCCTAATATTCAGCATACTTTACAGACATTTTTTTTCTAAATCTTTCTAAGGTTTATTTGCAGGAGAATTTAGTGTTAACGAGGATTATGCAAATTAGAGTCCAAA